GGCAGCCAGGAGCAGCAGCAGCGGGTGCTGCAGGAGCTCTGCACTGTCACGGTGGTACGTACGGAGGTGGGGGAGTGCTCTGGGGTGTGAGGTTTGCTCTGCAGAAGTGGTTTTGGGTGGAGGGATGGAGAGGGGGGGCACAGGGGCACAACCACCAAGCAATCCCCGTCCAGCCGGAGGCTCCGTACTGTCACCTCCTGGGACGGCCTCCAAGACGAGCCCTGCCTAGATGACACCCAGCAGTTAGCAGAAGGTGAGGAAGCAGCCACGACAGCCAAGTTGTGTCAAACTGCCCTCCCATGTGTCGGCTGGCGTGACAGCCGCTTAGGAGTGGCCTGGGATGGCCTCCTCTGCCCTTGACTTCTCCCATCCCCTGGAACTTCAAAGTGCTTTTCAAATATGAATAGAGCAGCATTTAATTAAAAGTCATCATCTGTAATAAATGGTACCTCCCCCCCCCACTAAGCCAGTAGAAATGACACCGGGATGCACTTAGTTGCAGTTGACTCCATGTGAGGCTGCTGGATGGACCAGCAAGGCTTGGCCTGCTCAGCTGTCCACCATGTCCTGCACGACCACGGGCCTTTAATTAGAAGACTGTAAGCTGCTTGGCTCCTCCGGCTCTGGCAGCTGCCTTACAATTAATATTCCCCCTGCTAGGGCCAGGATTTGCTCCGCTCAGCAGCAAACAAAGCGCTCCATCACCTTCAAGTAGCATCAACATCCAGGGAGACGGCGGTCAGGGTGGGGGAGTGTGTGTTGGGAAGGGGAAGGTGGAGACCACAGGGGTGTTTCTGATCCCTGGGTGGTTGCTGGGAAGAGGGTGCAGCAACGCTTTTGGCAGCAGCCGGAGGTGGAAAGATGCTGGGGCTGGATGCAGCTGGGAGTGAAGTGCGGGAGCCCTGGGATGCTGAGTCCACCCTGCTCACCTTGCTGGCAAACGCCAGGTGCTACCCTCGGGCTTGACCAGGCAGGACACGGAAATGGGATGGCATTACAGCCTCGTAGCAGCCCCGGCAGCCCCTCTGAGTTGCAGGCAGGTGGGAAGATGGCCCTGGCTCGTGCCGAATGATGGGCGTTTTTGCACAGTGAGTCCTGGTGCAAGGGGAGGGGGACGACCTGGCTGACCGTCTTCACCGTCTGGTGTGGTCTTCATCTCCCAGAGAGCCAAAAGACACTCCCCCCACCGCCCGGGGGCTGCGGAGAGGGGAGAGGAGGTGGGAAGCAGTTTGCAGGAGGGAGATGAGCGTCTCCCCAGGGGTCCCTGCACGGGGGGCTGAGCTGTGCACGCAGCTGTATCCCAGCGTAAGGCGGCAGCGGCAGCAGCCTCGGCGCCCGTCTCTCCCAGCCAGGGGTTTGCCTTGCCCAGCAGCCCTGCGCCCAGCGCGGCACCCGCGCGTGAGCTGCCAGGAGCCCACGGATCAGCCTCGCGCACGTGGTGGTGACACATTTTTGTTTTGGCTTTAATTCTCCAAGCTGTGCCTTGTTCTTGCTCGCCCAGAGGAGACGGGAGCCCAGCTGGGAAAGAGGGAGACGAGGCATCAGCTTGACATGTCTGCCTTACTTCTCCCTGCAGATTTACTTCTAGCAAAGCTGAAAGCAGAAACAGCTCAGACCTTGAAGGAAGAATTAGGAGGTTGGGGCAGTGGCAGCTGTCGGGAAAATAGTCTTCTGCTGTAGAAATTGCCTGCAGGTGAACTGGAATACCTGAGAAAGGACTTAGCAAGAGAGAAGTTAGTGAGGAGGTGTGTGATCCCAGCTCAGTCCCCATCCTCCTCTTTCCCCTTAAAGAGAATGTGCCAGCAGTTAAGTAAAAGTAATGCTTCTTTTAAAAGGAAAAAAAAAAGTTGTCAGTAACATGCACACATAATAGTATGAACAAACCCACACGTGCACACCCTGTTAAAAATTCTGGAGTATTTTAGATCCACAGTGGAAATAGGTTTCTTATTTCACGTCGGATCATTTTATCCATCCTATGTTAATAGGGAGATACCAGAGAATATTTTTAAATAGACATTTAAAACCATAAGGTCACTTGTGTGCAAGGAGAGAGGTGCTTCCATCATACCCGCTTTGGGAGTGTCCCCCAAAAGCCAGTTCTCAGCTGATGTCTACCTAGGACCGAGTTAGTTTCCAGCCAGCTGGGAGATGGGTGGAGCCCAGCTCGGTGTGTCACTGCGTAACGTGTCTGAAAAACGCTGTCCCACTCCCTTTTCTGTGTTTTCTGCACCGAGTGGCAGCTCTGCTGCTGGCTCCCAGTCACACCAGCCTGCTGGTTGGTTATCATGCGGGGGTGAGGGTGGGAGCCAAGGATGTCCTGCACAACTTTCCAAAGAAGCATGGGGTACAAATGGGGTACCATGAGGTCTTTCTCCAGAAGTTTCTTCCCAGAGAAGGACAGTGGGGAACCGTCGCCCATTTCCCCCTCTCCCATGACCAGGGCTGCCTGGGGTTTATGAGTCACTTGGCTAGTTGTCCGTGAGAAGAGGGCTCCTTTACTGCCCTCTCTTCCTGTGCGCTCAGCAAGTGACAGAGCATGTGTCCTGTCTACACCTGTCTCCTTAGCCCTGCCAGCGGGTCTGGCTCTAGTGCCAGGGTATCTGCTCATGAGGAGGGGTTTGGGAGATATGCTTTTGAGTCCCTTCTGGCTGAGCAGGAGCACCCGTGGGAGTCACCATTGCCAGCAACTTCCTCTTCCTCCTCATCGCTTTTGCCTCCCCCAGGCGTCTTCTGACCGCAGTGGGAAGAGCTCCCCGTCCTTCTCTGCTGCTCTCCTGGGAGTTGTGTGGACGTTCCTGACCGGAGGAGTCCTGCTAGCGCTCTTCTTTCTTGTCTTCACAATTCGCTTCAGGAAAAACAGGTAAGAACTTCCCCCTTCTGCCATGAGAGCTCCCCTGAGCTGGGGCAGCGGGGTCAGGCTCCTTCAGGGCCAGGCTCTGAGCTGATGGCCGGCTGAGGATCAGGAGGGTACAAGCAGGAAGGAGCATCACGGGGCAAGCAAGGGCAATGCCAGGCATATTGCAGCTTTCTCCATCACACCTGGCATTGATCACTGGTGGAGACAGTCATGCTTGGACTGCTCCCTTCCTCCCCAAGTCAGGGAGCTGTGAACATGACAAAGCATGGATGCCCTCCAGCATAAGCACAGGCGGCAGGGCATGGTCTCATCCCGAAGGTGCTGGCTGTTGGGCCACCCATCGTTTGAAGGTATTGCTAACCTTTTTTGATCTTGGTCGTTGTCCATACTGGTGGGGAACAGGACCTCCATTGGTGAGAGGAGCTGGTGGTGAATTTCAGGCTTTCCTTGGTGCTGTTCAGTCAGCACAAAGGATGTAAAATGTCCTGTTCCCCTGAGTGCAGCATAAGTCAAGCAAAAAGCTCGGCGATTCCTCGTAGCTCAGACTGTCTTGGCCAGCACTGAGCCTTCCTCAGCAACTCTGGATGTCTCACCTGCCTCCTTGCCACCTTCTCCTTAGCTTCATTGGTCCATTGGTCTCTCAGCTGCTTCCCCCGTAGAGATACATCCCTCTCCCAAGCTTCACCTGGCAAAACCTTTGTGCTCCATGTGCAGTTGTTTCGTAGAGGCACGCATCTGTGTGCAACAGATGCTGTTGTTCCAGTGCTCTGGTTGTGTTGATTTAACGCTTCTTACAACCGCTGGACAGTCCGGAGGGTCCTGCTCGCGAGGGTTTATCTTGAGCCCTGTGCCTGCTGCGGTGCGGTAGTTGCATGACCTGCATCCCCGTCTCGAGCACTTGGTTTACTGAAGCAGAGCGCCGTTGAGTTCGGTGGTCACCTTAAGACTGGTTACCAAATTATTTAGGCCCCTGAAGGTATTCTCAGAGCGAAGCTGTAATGAATGTGTGTTATTTATTTGCACTGCCGCAAATAAATGTGTGCCTGCCTACTGAACCTAGGAGGGCAAAGAAGACCTTTTTCAGCATGCAGCTGAGAGGGTGAGCTGATGAGTATCTTTCCCCAGGGGCTGAGGCATGGCAAGGAAGGCAGGGAGGGAGAGAGCCAGGTTGAGTCCCAGGCTCTGCATCTGCGAGGCAGCAAGCCAGGAAGGAGCTCAAGGGTAGAGAAACGCAATGACTTAGCGGCAGATCAAAGGGATGGAGCTACGAGGGGAGGGGGGGGATGTCAAGAGCTAGAGCTTTCGCTTGATGGGCTTGCTGGAGAAGGGTGACAGGTCGGGAGAGATTGGTGGGTCGATTCTCCCCTCCCCGAATACAGTTACAGGATTATGAGTGGTGGGGTGAAATTACAGAGGGGAAGCTGTAACCTGAACGTTGCAGGCACCTTCCTGAAGTTGAGACTGTGCCGAGGGTGGAGGTATCTCCCCAGAGGAAAGAGCTGTGGAAAGAGCTTCTTCCTGGAGGCATTTGTAGCTGCTGTACCCAAAGCTTACTGCTGAGGATGGCCACCCCGGGCTGTGTTGGTCAGGTTTTCCACTTCTGCCTCTTTACAGCAGAGGACATTGGAGGAAGAAGTTGGCCTTGAACCTGGGAGGCTGAGCTGGGCGCTGTGCTGTATGCCACCCGCGTGACGGTGGGGCATTGCTTCCCCTGGCTCCGCGTCGCTGCGGGGATGTGTGGCCGCGGCACGTGCTGGCGCTGCGGCACGGCTTTGTGTGCCCGGCACGGGCACCGGTAGCAGAGAGACCCGGCTGTGGTGGCCCTGGCTGCTTTGCTGCTAAAAGCCCATGGCGTCCCACAGTTTTGTCCATAAAGACGCTGGCTGAAGCTGCCTCAGGGATGCTTTTCTGTGCTGCAGATCCATGCAGGGGGTAGAGGTGCCACGGAGCAAGCCTGGTACCCATCCGTTTTGCTGTCCCACAGGAATGTCGGGGTAGGGCAAAACAAATACTTCAAGAATCATAGAATAGTTTGGGTTGGAAGGGATCTTTAAAGGTCATCTAGTCCAGCCCCCTGCAATCAGCAGGGACATCTTCAACTAGACCAGGTTGCTCAGAGCCCCGTCCAACCTGACCTGGAATGTTTCCAGGGATGGGGCATCTACCACCTCTCTGGGCAACCTGTGCCAGTGTTTCATCGCCCTCATTGTGAAACATTTCTTCTTCCTTATGTCTAGTCTAAGTCTACCTGCTTTTAGGATAGCGAAGCACTCCAGCAATACAGGGGAGAGGATGGGGTATGCACCATGGAACAATAGCTGAGCTTTTGGAGGAGCTGTGAACAGCAGGGTCTGGGGGGGCACAAGGTGTCAGCATTCCTTGTGGCCATCATCATCCCTGTGAGGGGGACCTTGCCCCTGTGCTGCCAGGTTGTGACGCTCAGTAACTGTCACCGCCTTCCCTGCTTTGTTTCCTGGAGGATCGTGAAGATGTCCAGCCCCAACCTGAACATTGTGACCCTGCTGGGCAGTGGCTTGACTTACGCTAGTGCTTACCTCTTTGGGATCCAGGAGCAGAGCCTGCCGTCTGGAGATTCCATGGAAAAGCTTATTCAGGTGAGCGGTGGGTTTTACTGGGGCGGGTGCCTGCGCGTGCGTGTGCACGTACGTGCACGTTCTTTCGGGCTGTGCTTTCCACGCACCTGCAAAACGCAACCGGGCGCTTTCCGCCCGAATGGGCTTCGCTGTTCGTGCAAAACCATGGCCGCACCGGCGGGGGTGCGAGGCAGGTCCCCGGGGGGGAGGGCCCCCCGGCAGGCGGGCCGCCGGGCTTGTAAAAGCGCAGCAGGGAGAGGGGATCCTCCGCGCGGCTCTGCATCTGCGAGGCAGCAAGCCAGGAAGGAGCTCAAGTGGTCAGTTTTCTTGTGTCTGGCACCCAGAAGCCAGCAGACCATAGACACGTCCCCACCTATCTATTGCATCCCTGGGTGGGGGGGTGTGGGGTGTCCCTGGCAAGCCCCACGGCTGCCCCTTCAGCCCCCTCACTCTGCCCCCCCGGCAGGTGCGGCTCTGCCTGCTGTGCGTGGGGACCTCCCTGGTGTTTGGCCCCATCCTGGGGAAAAGCTGGCGGCTCTACAAGGTCTTCACCCAGCGGGTGCCAGACAAGCGGGTGGTGAGTACACAGCACCCAGGGAGCAACTCCCCAAGGGGGGCAAAGACCGGCAAGTCCTAAACCGATGTGGGGTAGCAGATAAAACCAGCACACGGCACGGGTGGGTGCCACAATCACAGGTGTGGTTTCACGCCTCGCTGGGCATGGGCTCCTCATTTCTTGTGCAATGAGGCAGGAGCTTTTCTGCTCTACAGGCAAGCGGGTGCCTTGCCAGGCTCCCCGTTCCCCGGTGGAGTCCCAGCCCCATCACTGAGCGAGGTCTTGTTCTCATTGTACGTTGGCCACTTGCCTTCATTACGCTACACACCGGTGTTTGCGTCCAGGTCTGGGCTGATTGTTTTTGCAGGATGAAAATAAACCGGATATCCTCAAGGCATCTGATGTAGGGCCATTCCCAGATGCATCTGATCCCCTCTTGAAGGGAGAAGGAGCACTGGGTACCCCACTGCAGCACTGAAGGAAGGGGATGCAGCAGCTGGGAGGGAAATAGGAGCCACCCATACGAATTTGTGCACATAACAGCACGCTTACAGCTATCAGTGGCCACTTGCCAGCGGTGAATACAGTAGGTCTCAGATGAAAGGTGAGACAAGGGTTTGCAGGGGGAACTGGGTACTAGCAAGGGCTCCCATTCCTGAGGCACCGGGATCTGTGTTAAACTTGCAAAATAATAATCCTACCAGCTTTTTGTTCCCCACCCTTTTTGTCTCTGCTTGTGATACGGGCATGAGGGATGATACTCTTGTTTTGGAAGAGCTGTTTTCTGTCATAGCATTTACCAGCTAGCCACACCATTGGGGAGGGTTTATAACTGGCCCCAAGCCTGATTAGGTCTCCAAGAGCTTGGGAGCCAGAGACAGAGATCCTGTGGCCAACTTAGATGTAGGTGAGCTGCTGGACTCCACTCTGGGGACAGGTATTAGGGTGGACATTTCCCTTGGAAGAGACAACCAGCAAGAGACCGAAGGGGATGGAAGTTATTGGTGTCCATTTGCCCCCCATGGTAATGCTTACTTCCTGCATGTTTGCAGATTATCAAAGACCTCCAGCTGCTGGCAATGGTGGCAGCGCTGGTGCTGGCGGACGCCGTGTTGCTCTTGACGTGGGTATTCTCTGATCCAGTCCAGTGTTTCCGAAGCCTCAGCGTCTCACTGCGGGTAAAGGGATGAGGATGGGCGGTGGAGGGTTGCACCGTGTCTTGTCTGATCTCTCTGGACAAAGTTGGTGGTCAGGTGTTTGGAGGTGCTGTTTAAAAAAAACATAGAAAAAAAAACAAGCCAGAGAGCCTTCTGGTTCGGGTTTATGTCTGGTCTACTACAGAGATGAGGGTCTGCTGCAAAATCTCCAGGTCTGTACAGGTCACCTGGGTGACACAGGAGAGGTCCATGGCATCTGCAGGTGCTTTAGAGAAAGGTTTAACCAGCCCTGTTGGCATCAGAGTGCCAGAATCTTCCCCGCTTTAACCCCCTGCCCCTGGCAGCACCAGCTTTGGCCTTTCCTGCTAGGAATTTACAGAGGAGACCCTCCCAGATGCATGCCCATCTCCCCGTGCCCATGTCTGTGCCTGCTCCCGGCCGGGCAGCAGCCTTCACGTCTGCCTTCCCCTTGCCTCCTAGGCGACAGAGAAGGGCCTGGCCTGCTCAGCGAGCCGCGTGCAGTCCTGCGCGTCTCTCTATTCTGATCTCTGGCTCGTTCTCATTTTAGGGTTCAAGGTACGTAACCTCTTCGTTGATTCTTGCGTTGTATCTCGCCTCCTCCCAGTCTCGCAGCCTAAACTATCTAGCAGCGTCTGTAGTTTCACTGTCCTCCCAAGCTACGTGCCCATGGCAGATTCCAGCCACTCCTGTTCATCTTGAAAGCCTTCGCATCTCCAGTCCTTCCCATCTTGATGTTTTCTTCCATTCCCGTGTAAAAGCCCTGTTAGCCACTTTTTCTCTGCCTCACCATCTCTTTTACGTGCACCATGCACATACTGTCTCTCTCGTTCTCTCCCTGCAATCCCCCATGCCTCATCTATCTCTCTTCTTAAAACTTGCGTCTCACTGTTTCCTAAAGCACGCACACTTTTTCCGTAAAGCCTCAGATGACTGTCTGCTGCAGTGATGCACTGTGTGGCTCAGCCCCCGAGTCCTCCGGCTCCAGATCAAGGAGTTGCTGATGACAAGTGCTTGGTGCCTACCTTTACAGGATGCGTATCAGCTTAATTATGCCACTGAGGTACACTTTCACTGGTGTAGCTTTGCACGTGGCCGTTCTTACTCCAGAAGAGTTAGTTACACTGATGTAACTATGTGGGTATAATTATCGCTGTAATTATCTGTGGTCTCATGTGTCTCTGGTTTGGCAGAGGCTGGACACATTTCAGAAAGCTGATGTTGATGAAGCTTGTGAGATCACAGCCTTTCTTTGGGAATGGCTCCATCTCTGCGTGCAGTACAGGCAGTTCCTTTCTGACTCACTGTCATATAATACTCGTTGACTATCTACCCAAAATTGTAGTAAAAAGAGCAGAAAGAGACCTCACGACACAGCCAAGACCTTCTCTCCTGTACAGTTCATTTTAAAGACATTAGTCTAGTCTGGCCATAAAAGTCCTTTGGTGCTAGGGATTGCAGGCGTTCTCTGGGCTTTCGGTGCTGTGTCTCCATTTCTGATTTTGTCCTCAGTTTGTGTTAGGGCTTAGACAGGTAATGCTTTTGCCTACAGCTCCTACAAACCGCTTTTTGGAATAAAACCTCCCTATTACCAGTCCCAGGTATTCTTCGTTAGCATTGCGTTGAACCTGATCCTATCTACCTACTGGGGGTCATGGAGTTACTTCTTTAGTGGTTAATCTGGAGTTAATCTCGATTTACACTAACATGAGAGCAGGCTCTACCTCTGCATGTGTGTAGCACTTCTTATCTTCCATGGCATTAATGTGCTCGGCCCTTTGTGAAGTGCGCAGTGTATTATCCTGGTTTCACTGGCACAGAGTAATGAACAGAAATTCCTTGCCAAGGACATGCCTGGAATTAGGAGCAAAGTCCTCAGCTCAAGATGAAAACAGACAAACAAACAAACAAACAAAAAACCTAGTCCTGTGCTTACTGAAAGTCCTAGTTTACTAGACAGCAGTACTTTTGTCTGTATCCCAGATAGACTATATAAATTTTAAATGGGACTTCGGTGTTGGTTTTTTTTCTTGATTAGGGTTTAGGAATTGGCTTGCCCTTGGGCCACCTATTTGGAGGAACCCTGTGGTGAACGTGGTTATGATCCAGTGCAGATCCTACAAAGCAGGGTCCAGCGTCAGCCTAGTTCCCAGCGAGGCAGGTCTCACCAAGTTGTAATATAACCCTCCCTTGAGAATTCATCGTGCTCTGAAGTTGGGAGTCTCACCAAAGACTGTGGGCATGAACCTCTCTTGCCTGTAAGAGTGACCCTCCAGACCCTAACCCTGGCAGTGGCCATTGCGGTCATCAAGCAGCCACAGCACAGAGGGTCTAACAGAACATGTGCACCACAGGTCACAAAGCACTTCGTGATGCCCAAATAACAATTTAATGTCTCTTAGTAAAAGGCTGACAGTTGCACTCACTGGGCAGCACAGGAATAATGTAGGAGTCACGTTCCCTGTATCCTGGGTCCTTGCAGGAGCAGGGATTTTGTTAGATGGTACTTCCAAATGGCAGACTTCCGAAGGCAGACCATGCCCCGCACTACAGAGGCAGGCAAAAAATACTCGGTGTTTCCTGCCAACGTGCCCTGGGGAAGGAGGGATTCAGCCTGCCTGGTAGTTTAATCCTGAGCACGCTGGAAAGATGCACGTGTGGGACACTTGAGGGGCAGCAGCACGGTGAGGAAGCCTGCTCTGAAACAACCGACCTGCACCAGGGGAGGGAGGGCTTCTGTGTACAGAGCATTTCTCCAGCCCCTTTCACCGCTGCTGGAGTCGGGCAGGAAACGCTGAAGGGAAGGGAGAAGAATTGCACCTGGTAGTTTCCAGGATTTCTATTTAAAGAGGCACCAAGTACATCCTCTTCCCTCCAGTCTAAACTTCCCCTTCTTCTGCCTTGCTTTTTCCTTCTGAATGTCCTTCTGAATCTCCTTCCTGCTCCTTCAGAAGTATGTCGTTGCTCCTCAATGGCACCCCACCGCTGCATCCCCACGGGGACCTCCGTCTCTTGTCTGTCTGTCTTTCCTGCTCCAGGCTGCCTAAGGGCAGGTTTTCACGTCTTGCTTCTCCCGGCCGTGCCCTGCTCCGCGGCATCGCCTGCCGACCTGACCCTCAGCTCCTTGTGCCCCTCGGTCGGGACCCCCGGGGCCTGACAGCCCCTTTGCTCCTGCCCTCCCTGCCCAGCCTCACTTCTGACGGGCAGCAGCGTGCTGGGCGTTTGCTGTGGCGTCACCACCGCACGCTGAAGGTCTGCATTATAGATCAAAGAGCATTAATTAGGATTGCGCTGACTGTATCTGAGCTCACCAGGCTTGGTACAAGCTGGGGGTTGACACCACCAGGCTGTAATTTTCCACACTCTGGAAACCTCTTTTTTTCTGCTTCCAGAGTATCCTTCTGCTGTATGGGACCTACTTGGCTGGTCTGACCGACAACATTAGCTCCCCGCCGGTCAACCAGTCCTTGACGCTCATTGTCGGGGTCAATCTCGTTTTCCTGGCTGCCAGCACTGTCTGCTTAGTTCACCGTTTCTTCCGTGCTTGGCACAACTTGCTGTTTGGTTTTACCTCTGGAGGCATCTTTGTGTGTACAACCACGATCAACTGCTTCATCTTTATCCCACAGGTAAGCTGCCGCCTCTGTCCCACCACCTGGCTGGAAACGGGCACATTTTTGGAGTTTAACAACAGCAGCCTTGTGGTCCAAAGCACATATTTTCCTGCTTCTTTCCCCAAATGTCCGGGCTCATGTGCACACGCTCATCCTCCAAGCCCCAACGGCTTTGCTTCCCCAAGCAAGTCCCCTGAGTCTCCCGGGAGTGCAGGCACGTGGCAGAGCTGCTGCTCAGAAACCCTCCTCTGCAAGAGCGTGCTGTGGGTGGCAGCCACTCAGAGGGCATGTGTGGAGGCAAGGCAGCTGCTGCCCTCCTCCTCCTCCTCCACGTGGGTGGTGGGATTGGTCCTTCATGCAGTTGTCCTCTCCTCGTGCCCCACACGCCTGCTCCCACCAAGGTTCTGGCCGTGGCGGGGAGGGAGGTGAGCTCCGGCAGTCCAGACGGCCTCGCCAGGTTCAGAGGCTTCGTGGCTGCCGGCAGTCCCCAGGGCAGGCTGTCCTCCTCCGTGCTCTCGGAGGAGGAAGCTGGGCTTTGCTGCAAGCAAGGGGGAGGATGCGGAGATGTTTTGAGAAAGCTTTTTGTGGCAAGGCTCTTCAGCTTCCCGTGTCCTCCAGGAGCAGCCTGGTGTGCCTGGCCACAAGGTTAGTGGGAAAAATGCTCCCATTGTTACAGGGAGAGGAAACAGTTGTTTACTCGGTGTTATGTTTGGAGGGATGTTTGGGCTCAAGGAAATGAGGTGAGAAAGGGAGGAAGAGGTGAAGCTGAAGAAAGAGCAGATCTGTGCAGGAGGGGGCTCGGGGGAACTCACCAATGTGCATAAATACCTACGGGGGTGGAGTAGGGAGAGGGGAGCCAGGCTCTTCTCAGTGGTGTCCACTGACAGGAGAGAGGACAATGGGAACAAACTGAAACACAGGAAATTCTGTTTAAACATCAGAAAAGGTTTGGTTTTTTTTTTTTTACTCTGTGAAAGTTGTAAAGCACTTGGAGTAGGTTGCCCAGAGAGGTAGTGTGGTCTCCATGCTTGGAGATACTCAAGACCCATCTGGACAGAGTCCTGGGCAGCCTGCTTGAGCAGAGCAGCTGGACTAGATGATCTCCAAGCGGTCCCCTCCTACCTCAGTTGTTGCAGTATAATGGCAGAGTCCCAACTCGCTAGATGACCAGCCCATGGGAGCAGGATCCAAACCTCCTCTGACAAGCACCAAGCCTGCTGGCAATGCTCTGCCAAGCGCGAGGTCTCTCGGAGCGAGGGTGGAGGAGCTGATGAACTGTACTTGCACTCTGCCTGTACCATTTTTTCTGCTGTAGCCTGGGGGCCTGGAACATTTTATTTATCTTGGATCTTTTAATTCATCAACTTGTTTTTTCCTAATGGGCTTGCTCTTCTATTGCTCATCTGAGATCGATGAGCAGCTGGAGCTGGGCTGCGCAAGGCTTCCACACAGACACGAGGCAAGAAAATAGATACTAAGCATTGCTGGTTTTCAGCTTGTCACCGGTGATTCGGGGACAAGGAGGTGTGCGTGACATTGTCTTTGTCAGGGAGCGGGGAGAAGGGGGAAGGGGCTTTTACAGCACACTTAGAGGTGGCAGCGCAGGCAGGCACCGACCCCCTCGGCGTTAAAAGCTGGAGCCAGGGGCAGGGTGGGTGGGAAGTTCCCAGGGACCCTGCAGCCCCTTGCCCAGCCGTCTCTCGCCACCCGTCTCGCTCCTCCGTCACACCCTGCCTTTGTCTCCCCCTCTCCGCTCCGGAGCCGCGCCTGCCTCCCGCCGCGTCGGCAGGGGCTGTGCGTGCCGCGCCGATAACCCCCTCTTCTACTCCCCAGCTCAAGCAGTGGAAGGCCTTTGAAGAAGAAAGCCAAACCCTGAGCCACATGGCAAAATATTTCACCAGCCCAAGCAGGAGCTGCCGCTCGGTGTACAGCGAGGAGCAGCTCTACCAG